TCGGGTGGCTGCTCCTTTCTTTTCAAAGCTTAGGGGGCCCTCTGAGCTTGGGGGCCCTGGTGCATAGCACCACCACGATAGCTACACCTCAGATGGGAACTCCACTCAAATATTTTTTTATTCTGTTTTTTAGTATTTGTATTTGTAAATTTCAACTGTCTATCATATTTCTAAGATACTCCCTAGTGTCAGACGTACTGACAGACAGACAGAGTCTTTGTAATAAGGTCTCGTTTTACTCTTTAGGTACGGAACTCAGAAAACAATTACGGGATTCAAAAATAGAACTTCGGCATACCTTCTCGTCTAATATCCCTCAATGTTTGAAGACCAAAGTCTTTAATCAATGTGCGTTACCAGTGATGACCTACGGAACTGAGAAGTGGTCCTACACTGCTCGTCGTTTGAGAAAGCTAAAATATTTTCAGCGAGCTACGGTGCGGGCTATGCTCGGTATTTCTCTGCGTGATAGGTTTCGCAACGAAGACATCGGCAGTAAAATACAGATGACCGACATAGCTTAGAAGATTAGTAAGCTGAAATAGCGTTGGGCTGGCCATATAGCTCCGAAGGTCGATGTTCTTGGGTCCTTATACTGGCCATTGCAGTGCGGGACCACCCCCAATAGATGGAGTGACGACCTGTAACAGTACGTTACATTATACTTAAATAATTTTGTGTCTGTATCAATAAAAAAAAGAGATAACAAGACCACAGCGTTTCTTGCCGGTTCTTCTCTGGTAGGTCCAGTTTAGTTTAACCGTGATATTTTTGACGTTCAATAAGAGCTTGAATTAAGTCTATATTGAATAAAACGTAAGCGTTTACGACTTTTCAGATTACTTGTAAGAAAACGGTGTTATAAGAAATCTGAATTTCATATATGGGTCAAGCAGTAAATGTTATCTGGCGATAAAGTCGATTTAAAATATACTGTATTCTTTTTTACATCATTTACAATCAAGTTGGAATGTGGACATGTGATCAGGCGTCCGACACGTGAAATATGTGCTCGACGCTCTTACACATGCGCGGCGAATGAGTGTGTGTGCCAAGCCGCTACTGCTAAATAGTCAAGATATTGGTGCGTGTGTGTGTGTGTGTTTTATAGAGGTTACAGGCGAATATAGCGTAAGGTGAATGATGTTCACAATCAACTAAACCGTTTTCAAATATTATTCATGCAGAAAAGGTCTCAACTGATAATACCCTTGTGATAAAGGCATGCGAATCTTGTCATATGAGATGATAGTAGAGCTAGAGAGCTAGAGACGTAGTAGATTAATATATAGAGTCGCGTAAAAATATGAGTGACGTATATGAACACACCCACTAAGATAAAAGAGATGAAAATTGATATGAAGTTACGTGGTATAGGGCAGTTTATTGACATTGCGCACGAAAGACGGCTATTAACTAAATACTCAATACCAACAATATAATTTTTGACGGTAAGCGCACTATTTCATTAAATATATCCGCACTATCTAATTAAAAATATCAAACGCAAACTTTTCGTAGTTACTTAGTGTTAAAACACTGGTTTCAAGGTTTAAATGTGTTTTTTAGATAAATGAACAAAATCTTTCGGAGCTACGGGATTGCTAAAATGCAATAAAGAATGTAGATACATGTTAAGGTTTTGGAGCAGTGAGGTCATCGGCCGCTTAGGTTAATTGGTAAAGCGTTTGGGCGCATTAGACAGAAGACCAATTGGCAAACAGAGATGCAATTCTAATAATGGCTGAAAAATGTTAGAAGGCTAGTAATGATAGAAAACGAGTCTTTGATGGCTCTCCAGATCCATGAGAGGTTTTAAATGATCATTTCTTAAAAATATGCACCCGAATTTTATTTTTATCAAAACCTTTTTAAATGTGCAGTCTAAAATATCACACATTAATTTTTAAAGTTTTTTATAGTGCTAATCTCTGCACTTAAGATTGAACATTAAAACATGTAGGAAAAAGTACGAAAAGATTGTCGCCGCTGTGGGAATCGAACCCACGTCTTCGGCATTCGCGGCCTGACGCTCTAGCCACTGATCTAAACGGCTGATAGCCACAGCGACGAAAATCTTAACGCCTTCTTTCTAAATTGTTATTTAGCATTTGATAGAAAGAAAGAAAGTGCGCAATGGTAACCGTCAACTAACCGTAATTAATAATAATTTAATTAAAAATATTATATATATTCTCCTTGAATTTTAGCATATACTCAACGAGTGCAATAATTCTGCAGCCGGATCTAGTACTATACGAGTATGTGACCCAATCGAATTATCTGTCACTAAGCAAGGAAAAAAATCGATCGACGTGTCAGGGTAATATGAAACCTTAATATTCAACTTTTCCTAAATTTCCTCATATTCAGTAAGGGCAAGGTAAATTGTGTGTTGCTTGGATACTAATGAACTATAGATTGAAATTCCAAATAAATATAGAAAGTATTAGCACGTTTATATTTGATTTGTAGAATTATTAAACTATATACTTGGTTTAGTCTTCATCGTCCGAATAAAGAGATTTAAGACATATGTTTTTCACATGTTGCTAATAGGATTTTATACATAGTAAAGGGTCTAAGGTCCACCCGTTGGGAGACATTGTTAAGGTGATTGAGCATAGCACCCAGGTCCTCCAGCGATTTGCCATGATGACTATATCGTCGGCAAATCGAAGGTGGGTGATGTATTCGCCATTGATGTTAATACCTCGTCCTTTCCAGTCCAGAAGCTTGAAAACATCTTCCAACGCAGCGGTGAAGAGTTTCGGGGATATGACATCGTCTAATGTCCATGTCACGCCTATACCGGTTGTTGTTGGGAGCACTGAGCTCGAAGTTGTTGACGAGTACGTTTACCTAGGACAGTTAGTCCGGCTAGGTAAATCCAACTTCGACGCAGAGGTCAATCGGCGAATCCAACTCGGATGGGCAGCGTTCGGGAAACTTCGGCAAATCTTCTCGTCGAATATGCCTCAATGTTTGAAGACTAAAGTCTTCAATCAATGTGTGTTGCCAGTGATGACCTACGGAACCGAGACGTGGTCCTTCACTGCTGGCCCTATGAGGAAGCTCAAAGTCGCTCAGCGAGCTATGGAGCGGGCTATGCTCGGTATTTCTCTGCGTGATAGAGTTCGTAACGGAGACATCCGCAGTAGAACTAAGATAACCGACATAGCTCAGAGGATTAGCAAGCTGAAGTGGCGATTGGCCGGCCATATAGCTCGTAGAACCGATAACCGTTGGGGAAGAAAGGTTCTCGAGTGGCAGCCTCGTACTGGCCATCGCAGTGTAGGACGACCCCCTACTAGATGGAGTGACGACCTGTGCAAATGTGCGGGAAGTCGATGGATGCAGGTGGCTCAGGATCGTACTTCATGGCAGTCTATGGGGGAGGCCTATGTTCAGCAGTGGACTCAAACAGGCTAAAATGATGATGCTGATGAAAGGGTCTAAGTTATACATGTGGGGCTTCTAGAGGCCGAGGGTGTGCGCCATATACAACTAGACAATACACATATATACATATTACATACATACATGTAATATTTAAACTGAACAAAATGAATGACTCGGTGGAGTTCGAACATTACTCGTGCTTTGAATTAATCATGGATAATTTTTAGACAAAAGTGATCGAGTAAAAAAGTTGCTTTATAGATTTAAAACAACAACAACAGTTTTGTGCAATTATTTGTGGATGGTACAAATTTTTGTCCCATAGTCATACTTGTCCACAGGTCATAACTTGGAAAAGTTTCCAACTTAAAACTCGGCAAATAAAAAAAATGAATTTTGCAGAAAGCTTTATAATTTATTCAAACTTAATATGTTATGTATCACACGAGACATCTCTAACTTTATTATCATTTTCGTCGATAGTCTGAAATTATTAAATGTTTAAATGGGGTCTATAATTATGGTGGCGCAAGTGCTAAGCTATTGTATTTGGCGCCTGAGTTCATGGGTTCGAGTCCATCATGGGATAAGTATTTGTGTAACCCACATAAATTGCTTCGTATCTGGACGTTGTTGAGTTTGTGTCTGTTAAACTTTCTTGCAACACAGGGTGAATGGTACCGTGGTAGAGCCACGCATCAACCTCGGCTGTTGCACGAATGGGCAGGCTCGTCCGAGTAAGTAACACGATCTCACAGAAGACCGGCGTAAAGTGGAAGTGTGACAAATACTTTCGCGTTTCGTCTGGTGAGTGAGGTGGCCGGAGCCCAATTTCCAAAAGGTTGTCAACACACATGGAACCCTAGGGTGTAACAGATATCCATGGGCGGCGGTATTCACTTAACATCAGGTGAACCGTTTGCTCGTTTGGCAACTTTTCACATAAAAAAGTAGTAAGCGACATTCTATGAATAAATAGCAAAAAAGAGAATATTATAATTATTTCGATTTCGACTTGAAATAACTTTCAGATAGTCAAATAAATCTTCCAAACAATAAAGTTTCGCACCCATTCAACTTACGGAAAATTTATATTGTAAGATTATAAATAAAAAAACAGACATGTTTATCTTTATGTTATGTTTGGGTAGATTATTTTTATCTGGTGTCGTTAAATTGTTTTTCGAACTCATTTAAGAATTGTTAGGTAATAAAACGTTGAAAAAATAAACACCATCATTTGTAATCTTATCCTTTAAACGAGCAATTCTTGTATATATATATACGGAATCGGCTCCAGTTTTTTAGTATATGCGTAGATTCGGGGGCGAAAAATCGATCTAGCTAGGTTTCATTTTCAGAAAATGTCCTTTTATCCCTGTTTTCAGGGAATGAAAAATATTATTCGATTACGACGGTAAATTTCACCGAAAAAAAAAAAAATGTTATAATAGCTCGGTCGGTAATCGGGTGGCCGCTAACAAACAGCCACGAAACAGAAGGCCGTGGTTCGTGTCACGATGTTCTCATATCTGTCATGTACAACAGGATGTTGTTATTAGAAAATATGGCAATAGAATTATAGATTAAAATAATCAGTAAACTGTAATAAGAATTTATTTAGTACCGTAATACAATTTAGGCGCAATCTAAGTACGATACACATGACGCATTTGCCCAAATCTGTGACCTATGTTCAATAAATGGCACAAGATAACAAGGCACCCGGAATGTTGGCTCTTATCACAATATCATAGAAAAACATTTAAAATAAAATTCAGAACCTTCGCTATGCGTATATTCTAAACATAATGACATTAGTCGAAATCTGATGTCTCTCTTGCCTTTAAGGCGTACGAATTTTCTATAAAATATAAAGTAGTAGAAGAATATTTAAAAACTTAAACAACTACGTGATGTTTACCTTAATACTTATAAATATTTCTGTGAGTACAACGGAAATATGGTGTTGGTTTAACAGAAGAGATTCAATCATATTTAGTGTCAATTTTAAAACACACAGTTACACATAAAATTATACAGAATGGTAAAATGATACATGAATTTAATAATCACTTAACGATGTCACGTATAACCTGCTTTGTATAAAAAACTATCTTTTTTAATTCGTTTATAATATATAAAATAGTACTATATTTGGCACACTGTGAAGCACACATTACTCATGTTAATTCAACATTAATAAGCTAAATTTTCATGCATAAATTTTTAATAGAAAGACAAGTAATTTATACGACTTTGTTATAATTTTTATATACTACAATCTATTACTTCTTATAATATATTAAAATGTTATAGAATAAAACTGTTTTCATATTGTTATACATTTTGATGTGATTGAGGCATAAATTGGTTGTAATGTAAAAATAATCTAATATTATGTGACTTCAAGGCACGGAATGTTCCACCGTTGTGGACGGAGATATTAAGTACAGATATCACCCAGTATAATCGAAAACATTAATTAATTTGTTAGATTTATCTATATATAAAATAATAAGCTAATATAGTTATACATTAATTCGGACTCTGCACATATTATCGTCTTGCTTCTCGTACACAACTTTTTCGTTTGAATGCAGTTTGTCTTGTATCGCGGCAAACGACTGCCCCTTTGTTTCCGGAAGCAAAACCAATATGAATACTACGCCTCCCACAGATAAAAAACCAAAACACCAAAACGCGATATAGTTACCAAAGTTATCTGCAATTACCTGGTACAGTTTAGTGACGGCAAATGTCATTAGGGCTACAAATATTTGTATTACGCACGTAGCCTTCGACTTGATGTTAGTTGGAAATATTTCTGAGGTTATAGCAAATGGCACTGTCGCTAATCCTATAGTATAAGAGAATATAAAAATAGGTATCACAACGATAGGTATAAAGCTAAGATTCACAACATATTCAATATTTTTGTGTTTCATAAAAAAGTAGGCACCTATTATAATATTGGCTAGACCAACACCGCACGAGGAAACTAATAACAAAGGTTTCCTACCTAATCTATCGACTAGCTGGGAAGATATTGCAGATGTTAACAGCTGTACAGTTCCGAATAAAATGCAGGACTCCTTAGCACCGAGCCCACCTTCGGCAGCCCCGAATATTTGCTGAGCGTAAGATATTATAGCGGTGCTGCCACAGAACTGTTGTGTGAAATATATGCCTAATAAAATAATTAGGCCTTTTTTGTTGCCACCGACTACCACAAGGTCCTTCCATCTACTTTTCTCCTTCATATTTTCGTTGACTAAGTGCGTCATGCTTTCCAGCTCTTCCCTCATATATCCCTTGCCGCGTAGCTTCTTCAATGAGATCTCGGCCAAGTTCTGATGCCCTGATTTCAGGTAGTAGTAAGGCGATTCGGGCATCGCGCTGAACGTTACAACGAACAGTATTGGGATCGCGATATTGAAACTCGCTAGTCCAAGCATCGACACGTACGGCCCGATGCAGTACTGTGACAGGATTCCGAACTGAAATTGAAAATATGTAAATTTGTAAAACGAGCGTCTTCAATTTACGCCACATTTTGTACAAAAAGCGTTTTAAAGCAGTTACAATGTTTATACGATATCTAACATACTCAGGTGGATCTCATATTGAAACATAGTGTTAAAAGCTTTGGTTATATAAGATTAATTTATTCATTTAAATAAATTTTCAACCGACTTCAAAAAAGGGTAGAGGTTCTCAATTCGACTGTTTTTTTATGTATGTTACCTAAGAACTTTCGACTGAGTGAACCGAGTTTGATAGTTATTTTTTTTATTTGAAAGCTAGTGCTTCCCGTGTGGTCCTATATTAATTTCATTGGTATTGGATCTTCGGTTCCGGAGATACGTATGGAACTCCTTAAAATCAATTATAAAATGAACACAGAGCTTGATATTTGAAGTCTGTTTTTTTTTTTTTTTTTTTTTTTTTTTTTTTTTTTTTAAATGGTGACGTCGACTATGTTATAGTCACATGTTCAAATTAGCATTTTTTAGCTAGTGGCATATTTTTGTTGCAGGTGATATACCTTCCATATACAGATTATACTCGTACGAGGTTTAACCGTGTTTTTGTTCTTGCTATTTTTCTAATAAGGTTCATGAACACTATTGACTGAACCATAAATTTTTAACTGACATTTGAAATGTTTTATTTTAATAAGTGGTATACGAATTTTACAGAACAGTAACACATGGGTCGTATTAATAATATTATTTATTCCATCGTTAATTTGTGAGCATAAGAAGACGATGAAATGTTTATAGTAAAATATTAATATAAAGGTGTTAGTAACCATGGTGAAATTTTACGTCCCTTATCCCACTTAGGTTCGGTTAGCACCAATTTCGTATATTGTATCGGCTAGGTAAAATTAAAAAATTTTTTTTGCACATTTTGCATAGATATTCATGAATTCATATCAGGCTTTCTTACACCCGTATACAAGAACAATACTTAGGTAAGATTGAAAGCAACACTGTGCTAAGTAAGTCATTTCTCACTGCGATCGTAATGGCAGGCCATGTCATTCACAAATATCACTGGCGACACTTATCGCCGATTACAGATCTGTGATTGGTCCGTTTAGCAAAATAGACATAACATAACCTGACATTTGTCAAAGCTACATTTCTAATGAACGCATAGCTTTGTGCATCACTCAAGTATCGTTTAAGATGGATTTAGCGGCCCTATGTGTTCGTACGCACTGTGACACCTCAAATTTTTCTTGAATACGGCTGTCAGGCTACTAGGATTTAAACCAGTCATTTACGTTGTATATTTTATTTATAGTGATGGCGCCTGTACCTTATATATAGATTTATAAGGTACACGCTTTATAATTAAAATTTAAGCAATTCCTATATAGTTGCTTAAAGCTTAATTGAAAATCACAGTTTTAAATGTATGTATTATATCTAGGGATGAAATTTTGAAATTTAATAAAATTATTAAAGATTTTATTGAAAGTTTGTGTAAAGTCTAATTTGTACTTTATATTATACTTTAAATTAATTTAATTATTGTTATTTTAATGACCGCTGGATTTTAGACTGAGTCCCATACAACTACACTACAGGACAAATATTTGTATCATAGGGATAGAAAGGGATATGTTAATCCAAGTGCTCAGCGGTGAAGGAAAACATTTTTTTATGTGAGAAAGAGACAAACGAGCTGACGGTTCAACTGATGTTAAGTGATAACCGCCGCCCATGAACAGTTCCAACATCGGTAGGGTTGCAAATACGTTGCCACCTTTTAATAAAGTGGGCCCGGCTACCTCACTCACCAGACGAAACGCAGAAGTGTAACACTTCTACTTTACGCCGGTCTTCTGTGAGGTACTTACCCGGAGGGACCTGCCCATTCGTGCAACAGTGAACACTGTTGCGTGGCCCTACCACCGTCAGTCGTAAGGAAACCAGCATATTTTCGAAATAAGATAAAAAAAAATATTTCAAAGATATGTGAATTCCGAGAATCCGCAGTGGGGTCGCGTGATGATACCCTTGATACCCTCTGTACAGAGGAGGCCTTTGCCCAGCCGTGAGACATTTATAGGCTGTTACTTTACTTTTTCTTTTACAACGCGTGCACCCAACAGTCCAATAAGCGAGTAACTAGAATCAAATTAATTTATGCTTCAAGGTAACCCTAAAGATAAGACTCAACATTGCGAACTCTGTGTCAATATTCCAAAACAACTTTTTTTAAAAAAACTGGTCATTGCTTGACCACCTGTTCGACCATCACCTTCGTGGTATATTTAAAATTTGGGTGCCATCAGACAATAGTGAATCACTATAATAAGCAGCGACTAAATCTCCACTTATCATCATATTAGATAGCAGTCGACCACTAGACAGTCTGTACAGATAATAAAACCGCGGTTACGTCACAACACGCCCGACGTGTTTGAATTGATCGTTCAATGAATCGCGGTGGGCGATAAAGCGGCAAAACGGCAGCCCACCTTAGACATGACAGTGATGAGTGTTGCCATTGCACCGCGCACTTCGTCGGACGCGATCTCGCCGAGGTACATAGGGGCGGCGGTGTACGCGACGCCGTAGCCGAGGCCCGAGATGAGCCGCGACACGTAGATCGTGGGCACGTTGCCCGCCAGCATCACCATTATCCAGCCGATGATGTAGGGGATGGCCGCCAACAGGAGGGTCTTCTTCGTGCCTATTCTATCTGCGAGGTACGACGCAGGGATGGGGCTCGCGGCTGAAATGGAAAATTCATAGGTTCACTTTTAATATGTCCTGATAGATTGTCGAAGAAATTTATTCGTCGCTGCCGGATTTGAACCTTCCGCTAGCTACTAAGTTAAGTGGTCGGTGCTCCTGGCGTCGTATCTACTTTGTTTTTTTTGCATTTTAAGCAATACTTGGCGCCATCTAGTATGTATTTACAACAAGGACACTTTCTCAAATGAATATTGAAAAGTTGAGAGGTCGCTTTTGCTTTTGAAATTTAACTTTCAATTCAATTAAAAATACCGCTAGATAGCCTAGTTGTAGTTTTTGCTTCGTTAGTTCGATTGATTTATTTGTTCTATGCGGTTCCTATACAGAGAAAGTACTATGTCTGTGTCCGAATACTGTTCCGGACCTCGATGTTTGTTGCAAAGAAACGATGTGTACACATAATATCTAATTAAAAATATTATAAACACAACGAAATTTCTAATTTGTAATTGGTATCAATTTTCTATTAAACAAAATTATGGCACGTTGACATCAAAATTATAGTAACTTTTAGTAAATCTCGTTTTAAATAGATGTATTATAAATATATTTCATTTAATTATTAAATATATAGGTATATATTTTAAATGATCCGCGGACGCTTTGCCAACTTTCTCAGTTTGCCTACCTTTTGAAGAGTTATAGTACAATTATTCCCATTTTGGGTAATTTTTCATATTTTCTTTTTTTTTTATGCGAAAAGTTGTCAAACGAGCAGACGGTTCTCTGCCACTCCCGAGGGTTACAGATGCGTTGACAACCTTTTGAAAATTGGGCTCCGGCTACCTCACTCACCAGACGAAACGCGAAAGTATTTCTCATACTTTCACTTTACGCTGGTCTTCTGTGAGGTCGTGGTACTTACCCGGACGGGCCTGCCCATTCGTGCAACAGCCGAGGCTGCTGCGTGGCCCTACCACCGTAAAATTCCGTATTACCACCGTATTCATACTAGTACCATGTCGCCAACTTTAATATATTTTTCTATTTAGTATTGTGTCATTGTGTTATTGCATTCAATGGACTATGTAATTCAGATCTTAATAAATTCGTCCTGTGTTGAAATATTTCCATCATTCTGATAATAGTCATAACCCGATCGGCGTAGTGGACAGTAATGTTTTTTGCGCCAAAGGGCGTTGGTTCGATCCCAGCAAAGGAAAAAAATATTTTATGATGAACATATTGTTTCTCTAGTGTCTGGGTGTTCATATATTTATAATATACATTTTTTTACTACGATTTGTGTGATCGATACCATATTTGCAATAAGCGTTAGCAAATGATGATGTATAACCGGATAGCATTTATCGCTTAATAAAAATGTCACAATATAAGTCGTCTCTATTACTATTCAAATTAAAAGCTTCAAATCTTTTTTCCCTCCCTCCCTCACTTTGGGATAACATTATCCTGTGTTGTAAGGACAAAATATAAATATAAATCTTACAATTTTGAAGTTAACCTTATTTGTATAATAAATGGAGTTGAGTTTATTTTTACAATGACTGTACTCAAACATTACTGCATTGTTAAATTTAACTATATATTTACTTAAAGTAAAAGTAAAGCAACAGCCTGTACATGTCCCACTGCTGGGCAAAGGCCTCCTCTATACAGAGGGTACCAGGGCATAGTCCACCACGCGGCCCCACTGCGGATTGGCGGACTTCACATATTATCTTCATAATATATATATTTTTTGTTATTATTTCGAAAATATGCAGGTTTCCTCACGATCTTTATCTTCACCGCGGAGCACGTGATAAGTTAGCACTTAAAGTTAAAAAATTTTGTTCATTGGTGCCGGCACCGGGGATCGAACTCAGGTTGCTCGAGTATATTGAATTAAAGACGAGCGCCCGGATACTGAGCTATTACGGCTATTTAGAACATTTACTTAAATTGAGTTATTTCATTTAACAAAATTTTATTAGTAGATGTAGCTATAAATAGCTCCCAAGGTAGAATGTAAGCGAAAACATTATCCTAGAAGGATACAAAGGTTATAATGCGATTCGATTATAATGCGTGAAGAAGCTGACCTGAGCAAAGTATCATCAGTGAAGCAATCCATGAGCTTTGGTCCGCGGAAGTCTGTATGGGTGAATCCTTCGCCAGTAGTATTGGCAATGTAGGGGAGGTCCACCCCACTGTTGTTCCCGCCGCCGCCGTGATCAGCGTAGCTGAAAAATTCAAAAAGAGAATAATTATTTCTACTATAATAAAAAACGAAATAAGGTCGGTGAATAAGTTAGTATTATTTTTATTAATAAAAAAAAACAGCCAAGTGCGAGTCGGACTCGCGCACGAAGGGTTCCGTACCATCTAATATATGAAATTCGTGTCACAGTTTTAGTGATACTCTTCCGAAACTTGACCAATTTATGATGAAATTTTATATGTATATTCAGTAGGTATGAGAATAGGTTTATAACTTATATTTATACCCTTAAGTGTTAAGGGTGGCTCAGCCTAAATTTTTTTTTCATTTTTTAAGTTTTTTTATGGTGTGACATTAAAAACTAGAAATAATTCATATAGCAAAACAACGTTTGCCTAGTCAAAATAGTTATCTATAAGAAAGACAAAAATCATGTCAGTTGTATGGGAGCTCCACTTAAATAATTTTTAATTCTGTTTTTTAGTTTGTTGTTATAGCAGCAACAGAAATACATCATCTCTGAAAATTTGAACTGTCTACCTCTCACGGTTCATGAGATACAGGTGACAGACGGACAGACAGACAGCGGAGTTTTAGTAATAGGGTCCCGTATTACCCTTTGGGTACAGAACCCTAAAAATGAAACTAATAAATACTGATTCCTTAACTGTTAACTGTTTTTGCGGAGCTTAATTTAGCTAGGTTTTACACACCAAAGAAATAAATGGAACTATAAAAATAGATTTTCTTTAAACATACCTACCTAAACAACCTTTGCATAATAAGTACAATGGTTGTATTTCAAGAAAAAAAGGTTATTAAAGCCTTCAACGCGAAAGAACAATGACAAGAAATGTTGAAAATATTTTCATTTCAAAAATAATTTAAATGAAGAAATTCTAAGAATGAAGGTAACAATTATAAACTGAAAAATTAGATAAAATGGATAAACAATTATTCCTTTAATCTAACGTAGTATAGTAAGAACTTTAAACGGAAAAAATAAACAGTTCTGTAATTCTGGATTAGATGCGAACGTATTATTATATGTTTTCATCGCGGAAATAGAATTGAAGTACTAAGTGTTTCTCATGTTTCTCGAAGACAATGTTAAGTTTATATTTAAATAGAAAATGTGCCTTGTCTTGATGAATTAGTAAAATAATACTGTAGTTGCTTTGTTGGAAAGTGGTTGTGGTGCTCATACAATAACATAATACCTTGGATGAGCCATACACCAACAATGTATTTTGGGACGAGGTTGTCTGGATGATGCTGTTATAAGATATACTTGTAATTTTTTTTAATGTGGTAAAGTGGCATACGAGCTGGCGGTTCACCTGATGTTAAGTTATAACCGCCGGCCATGGACATTTGCAAAACCCGTAGGGTTGCAAAAGTGTTGCCCCCTTTAAATAAATTGGGCCCCGTCTACCTCACTCACCATATGAAACGCAGAAGTGTAAAACTTCTACTTTACGCCGGTCTTCTGTGAGGTCGTGGTACTTACCCGGACGGATCCGCCCATTCGTGCAACAGTGAACACCATTGCGTGGCCCTACCACAGTTAAAACTTGTAAAACATTATAAACATCTTGCTAAAAAACCAAAAGTCCTTATTAGGATTTACCTTTATAAAAGAATGCATATTTCAAGTTATTTTGCATGTCGATGCTTATTTTTAAGGTTTCTTTTTGAAATCTGGAATAGTCGAGGAATTTTTGTACTATTTTTAACAAAAATCTTAATATATCTTAATATAAACTTGGTAAATTTTTTAAACTTCATCACAATTACAGCAGAATAGGTACAAGGAATATATTTTGTCAGATTGATTTGTATAGAGTATTGGAGGCGTTACATGCTTGCCTGTAGGTAATCGAAAAATCTTTCAATTTCTTATAAATCTTTTACATAACCCAAATTTCATTTTTCATTCAATTCATTTCAGTATCAAAAGACATAACCTCCATATTTTTACACTGAAATATCTTCAATTCCAAAACATCCTTTCCGGATTATTTGTATGTAAAATATACTTGAAACATTTATATAAAGAAACTTTTGTGTTGTAGTCCTAATATATCTGTCACTTTTTAATATTTTATTTTTGTTTGTATAATACAGTTTGTATAATATAAAGATTATTATTAATACTTAAAACTTTAAATTTTATGTGTTTAAATATTTTTTACTTTTAGACACGTATTTTTCTGAAAGTTATCAGAATATTCGTAGAATACCTGTAAAAAATGATTTTTTTTTACTTATTTTTGAGCTCCTATTATTAAGACTTCGTGCGAAGCGTTTCTTTACATTACACTCGTTATATGGTGAAAGTAAATAATATTGGTGAAAGGTGTATTTTACGTTGCTATGGATAATGTAATTACTGTTTATATTTAATTAAGTTTCTTTGTTGAGATGATAAGAGTTGTGTCATTTCTAAATTCAGCGCATTACTTAACACACCTTTATTTTGCTCACATGTTAAGTCGGTGTGTTTGATATAATGTCCGTATCAATAATTTTTTTATAAGATTAACGTACAAAATTTATCAGGCTACTAACCTTTAATTTTTTTAGCATTAAAAGGATTGATGAAACCGGCTTTATAATTGCTTAATCCTTTTTTTATAACGATACATGTGATTATAGTCAATGAAACTCATTTCCATTGCTTTAAACGTGTATATTCCGACGTTAATAAGATACTAAAGGACGTCACAGAGATTTCAATAAGCACCGCTATAAAATACATAATTTTTTCCCGCATTAAAGCAAACTCTCGCCTATTTTGCCAATATGCTCTGTTTGCTGATACGATGGCTCTTTTGAATGGCCTAAAGGCAAAGTTGAACTTCTTTATAGGGTTCCGTACCCAAAAGCTAAAACAAGACAAGACTTCGCTGTCTATCTGTCTGTCACCACGAGATATAGTCTATATCTCGTGAACCGTTATAGTTAGAAAGTTGAAATTTTCACAGATGATGTATTTCCGATGCCGCTACAACAACAAACACTTAAAATCAGTATAAAAATATTTAAGTGGGGCTCCCATACAACAGACATGATTAATTTGCCGTTTTATAGATAATGGTACGGAATCGTTCGCGAGTCCGACTCGCACTTTTTTCCTTAGACATCCAAAAGTCGAGAGGACTAGACGGAATCCCTCCCATTATCCGCGTTTTAATCACATTTGCCCGCGTTTTAACGTATCTTTTCCGGCACTCCGACCTAGGGAGCAACCTAGGTATTGTCCTAAATTTTTCGAGGATGGCTTTAGTACAACCAATGCCTAGGAAAGTTGATCACTCAGATCCGTATCCTATTGCCCTCACCTCTTTGTTCTCTAAAATAATGGAATCCATTATTAACTGCCAGTTCCTCGGTTACCTAAAGGAGCACCAGCTCATTAGGGATCGCCAGTATAGTTTCCGTCGGGGTTGTTCAGTTGGTGGTCTTCCAGTGCACCTAGCTCATCGGTGGGCGGTGGCAGTTGAGAATAGGGTTGAGGCTTTGGCGATGAGTTTGGACGTAGCGAAAGCCTTTGATCGGGTTTGGCACAAAGCACTTCTCTCTAAGATTACTTCTTACGAGCTTCCTGAGAAATTATGCAACTGAATTGCTGGTTTTCTTACTCTTGGGAGCATCAATGTCGTGGTTGACGCTGCTTGCTCTGACACTAAAATCATAAACGCTGGTACACCACAAGGCTGCGTCCTGTCCCCTACGCTATTACTTTTACATAGCAATGATTTGTAACATTCATCGCTATGCGGATCATTATATACAACATTATCCTGTGTTGTAAGGACGTTTTACAAAACATAAATTTCACGTGGACAAACACCCAGATGCGAAACAACAACCTGTGGGCCACATAAATAGTTGTACCGTGTGGGAATCGAACCCACGACTCCCGACGCTGAAGCTTATACCTTGGCAACTGGGGCACGTAGTCATCAAAAAAAATTGATTTCCATAAAAAATTTGTCTGTCGCATACCGTATGCAGCAGATCGCAAATATGATGATGTCATTGTGGTTAACACTAATTTTAGTATACCTATTAAATGTAAATTTTGGAAGAATCTTTTTTATAGGAGTGATTCTATTGGTGAAGTGGATTTAAAAAGTGTCTTTCGTGCCAAGGGGCGTGGGTTCAATCCACAAGACAGAAATATTTTTTCTCGTATAGTATGTTACAATTTACAAAAGAAAACTGTGTTTGGGTATGTTTATCAGTTACCATGTACCCATGGTACTACATTTTACGTAACTTAACTAGGTAACATTGTGTAGCAATATTTTCAGAAATAATTATTTTTTAATTAGCATTTCTTACTTTTTCTTCCGTTTGAATTATTGATTTGTTAAATTACAACATAGTCATAAGTGAGTTTCATTGTAGTAAGCTGCAAGACCTAACAAATAATGTAGATTAAACCCTTATTAGAACTGCGTACAAACTGCGACTCATCACGTGTTCAGCGATTAAGGAAAACATTGTATGAAAACCACCATCCCCACGCTTTCCCCCATGGTTCTGCTTAACCCAACCAAGATGGAATGTTATGGATGAAAGGCCAACTTGGATTATTTCCTTTAAAGCCGATTGCCTTCACAGTTTTTATCACTACTGGAGTCCTAACAGTGCGAGGATGATCATATCTTCTAAACTTGAATTTTCATTTTTCAGTAGTTCGAAAATCTGGTTGGGTGCGTAGCTGCACCGATGCAACGCGATAAACGCAACCCGATCTTCCTTTAGGGTTCACTATATATTGATACATAAATGAAATTTGAAATAGTGCACCTTTTTATTTTCATAAAGATTTTTTGGCTAGCATACGAGACTCAAAAGTTTTCATTATGTAACAGAACTTATGATCCCACTAGATTAAGTAGTAATTAATCCGATTAGGTAAATAGGAAAAAGGTCCGATCAGTCTATCCACAATTAAATGTAATTTATGAAATTATTTCTATGATACTGTCAGTATCAATTTGTGACTAG